GTGACAGTTACTCTCGGGAGAGACAGGCCTGACAGGAAGGTGGCAGACACTTCCTGACCAAGGTTCATTTGAGCCTCCTGGGGAGAGGTGTTGTGTCTGAGGGGCAAAGGGGAATGTGCAGGATTGAGAGTGGGGGCCGGAGAGGAGAGGCTCAGGGCCAATGTGTGAGATGAGGAGGACTTGGCAGTGAGTGACCTCATAGGCTGTGGTTGGGGGTCTATCTTCACCTCATGGAAAGCCATGGGAAGGTTAGTTTCTGCCACCTTAACTGTGACTGTGTGTGGGACACAGGGCTCACTCTGACCACAGCATTTCCAGAACACCCTGTGGATTTCTAACTGAAAACCACACGCAGCCACTTATGATCCCACAGCGGCTCCTCACCTCCTAGGATCATTGCTAGCAGAGAACCACTGAAGTACAGCCAGGTCCCCAGTTCCCGAGTGGCATTAGCTGTGCCTCTCTCTTTTCCTTCATGATGGAGAAACTGTACTGGGTGCTGCTGAATTAGTAATTTTAGAGCTGAAGGATTACCTCACATTATGTAGACAAATTGTCCAAGAACTGGTTTTAAAGATAGTTTTTTTTTAATGCAATGTTTGAAATGCAGGGCTGAAGATGAGGCTCAGTAGTAGAGCTCTGGCCTAGCATGTGCAGGGCCCTATGTTTGATCTCCAACACTGGAAAAAAATTAAAGAAGCATTTATATAGAGTGAAGTGTACAAGTTTCAGCATAATGAATAACCATTGCCCAGAACAAGATGTAGAATGGTTTCTAGCACCTAGTGTGCTCCTTGGTACTGCCTGCCCATTTATGACTCCTCTCTCAAAAGACCATCAGAGTGAGATTCTTTTGACTTATACCACCGTAAATGGGTTTTGTTATTTTTGAACTGCATTTGAATAGGATTATCTGAATGGAATATATACTCCTTTGATCGACTTCCTTTCCTGAACATTGTCTGAGCCACCTCGGTATTTTTCAATGGAGTGTAGTATTCTATTGTGTTATTGCACCGACTCTTGTTTGGGTTTTTTTTTTTTTTTGGTACCGGGGATTGAACTTGGGTCCTTGCACTTGCAAGGCAGGCCACCGAACCGCTCAGCTAAATCCCCCGTCCCTACCAACTCTTGACTGATACTTTATTTGCATTTTAAATGCTGAAATACTTGATAAAGTGTTATCTCATCCAGGATTATTTTGTTTTATATTGTTTTTTCTTCTGTGTGGCACCAAGCAACTGATTGTTTTATTTATCCCAGAAGGAACTGGGGATTTAGCTCAGTGGTGCTGCCGCCTGCCTCGCAAGTGCTAGGTCTTGAGTTTGATCCCCAAGTACCAAAAAACAAAACAAACAAACAAACAAAAATAAAAATAAAATAAATTTATCACAGATTCTCAGGTTTTATAAGTATCAATGAACTATATTACTGTAGGCTGGGTATGTAGCTCAGTGGTAGAACCTACCCTCCTCCCTATCTATCTATATTGGCTTATTTTGAGACAGGCTCTCACCATTAGTTTAGGCTGACCTTGAACTCACTGTGTAGCCCAGGCTGGCCTTAAATTTGAACTCAGCGATCCTCTTGCCTCAGCTTCCTGAGTACTGTGATTACAGGAATGTGGTACTATCCCCAGTGGTACAGAGCCTGTTACCCAGGACCCAAAGGAGGAAACAACCAACTCTTGGTGGTTTTATAGGCCATGATTTGTTGAGCAGTGTGCAGTGTTTTTCCACAGTTCTTTGTTTCTGGTGATCTGCCATTCAGTCAGGAGCCTTACGGTCATCTGAAACCTCTCCTGTCCCCAGTTGTGAAAGCCTAGGTCCAGTGAGCAGTGTCCCCTTCTCCCCATTGTTGTACTGAGGGGTGAATGGCAGAGGCTCCAATGGGGTGGACAATTAGGCTGATGTTACAGAGAGGTCATTGAAGGAGCTGCCAGGGGACAGTGGCTCCTGTCTTCTTTCCTGCCATTCTTGATGCGCATGAAACTCCCATTGTGCTGGCGAGCTCAGTGCTCACCTACAGTGGAGTCTATTAGTTTTGATCTAGTAATACAAGTTACCCTTTTTCCTGAGCATGGGTAGCCAGGTCAGGGGGACAGATTGCGCATTCAGAGATTTTAATAAACAGATTGCTGATGGCTAAAGTGTTAAATGACATAGTGTGAACTTTTTAATGTGAGAGATTATGATTTTTAAATTAATGCTTCTTGGAGAAGAAATACTTCCTCCAAACAGAAAATTTTTTCAAAGAGGAGGAATCAGCGGCGTTCTTTAATTATATAGACAACTGGAAATCTCATCAGCCTTTTATTATGTTCTTATGTATGAAAAGGTCATTGTTTGAAAGAATAAGCAACAGTACTTAATGATGAGGACCATATTTTATACAACTGAAGTATGATTAGCATGACTGAGAAGTCAGTCTGTGTCCATCTTGAAGGACCATATGCCCCACCTTTCTGGGCTTCGTGAATTTGGCAGGATTGGTGTTGGGAATAAATTCGCCTGGCTCTTGGAAACTGCGGAGCAGCAGATGGGGCTTGAGCATGGTGCTGAGCTCTCAGTAGATGGTCAGCAGTTGAGTCGAATGCCACAGCCCCAGAATGCTTTGTCACTTGCCCCTCTGCCACCCTCTCTCCTTGGGGGGTTGTCCCTAGGGGGGTCAGGACTGTTTTTTTTTTCCAATATCTTGAAGTAAATAGTTTGACCTGGTACAGAATTATGAATTTGGAAGTCACGGATGCTTTGTGACAAAACAAAAGAATTCAGTGAGATCAGCTGTATGGTCATAAAGCTAAGTGTTCAAAAGTCAAAGAAACCATTTTACATTGAATATTTTTTAAAAAATTAGACCTGTAATGAGCCATCAAAGTCAGACTCCTTCAGGGTGATTTTATTCAATGGTTTTAATTTGGTGCAACTTTTTCCCTTGTCTTAAAGCTCAAAATGAGAAAGAACTTGGTTACCTCCCTTTACCTTTCTGGCTGCTCTGGTCCTTACCCAGCTTCTCTAGGCTTATGATACTGCTGTGTTCTTATCTCATTCTCTTCCTCTTTCCCAATTAGTGTCCATTTCAGTGTTGCTTTCATTATCCTCTCCTGTTTCCTAAACGTTTGGTGTCTTTTCAGGGAACTGGCGTTGTCAGGCATTTGGGCCACAGCCTGTGTCCCAGTGTTTCTTAGCTTGCTTGCCTTGCCAGTTTTGACTCTCAGTTGGCCACACGTCTGAAACTCCTGTGAAACTGGCACTTGTCAGTCTGTGATGAAAATTGTATCTGTCCTGTTGTCTTTGGCTGATTGAATCTTTAGCATGTTTTGAGTGGCTTCTGTGTTCAATCCACCTTTGGCATGAACCTTGCAAGCTGACCCCCACCTCTAAACCTGTACATATAGTAGGCATTTGGTCTCTGCAAATACTTTTGGACACTAGAATTCAAATCTCATAAACTGTCCTAGGAAATGGAAGTAAAAGGATTTTTTCATTAAATTTATTGGTACTTTTTAGGTATACAGTACAGTTACATTCATCATTGGGATCTTGTACCTTTTCATGATGTATTTTGCTTATTTTTTCCCCATTCCCGTGCCCTCCCTTCACCCCCTCCTCCCTTCCTTACTTACAAAGACTTTGTTTCCATTTTTTCCTTTTCTCATATTTTTTCTTTTCCCTTCTTTCCTTTCCCCCCCGCCCTTCCCATTTCCCCTACTCCTTCAGCCCTTTTCTATTTCACATTATTACACTTTTTAAAGTACCTTACGTAATTTGATGGGGTTAGGCCACTTGTGACCTGATATTCTTTCTTCACCCTAAACTCTGTGACTTCTGGACTTTCAAAGTTAACATTCAGCACAGGGTTTCTTGACTTTGGTACCATTGACATGTTGGGGTGAATATTTCTTTGTATGCAAAACTCCTCATTTGCTCCCTCCTGAGATTACTGTTGGTGTCTTTTGTTTTTGACCTTTAAGCATAGGTTAAGTGGTATTAATCAAAACGCCTTGTTTTTGGAGTCAGATATGAAGCTGGTTGTAGGCAGGAATATTGTATTTATACAGGTGTTTATTAAAGCCATGAACAAATCAGTAGTATTCTACATACTTGTGAATGAAACAATATGGAATGCAACTTTAAAGCAGTGTGTGAACATCAGTAAATAGGTCTTACTTTTTTTTGGTTTGGTTTGTTTTTTGAGACAGGGCCTCACTATGTAGTTCAGACTGCTCTGGAACTCACTGTGTATCCCAGGCTGGTCTCGAACTCACAGCAGATCCTCCTGTCTCAGCCTCCTGAGTTCTGGGATTACAGGCGTGCACCACCAACACCCGGCTCTAGGTCTTACTTGTTTAAATTGCTTTTGAGCTCTAAAGAAAAAGCTGCCCTCTCCTTAATTTACCACTTAATATATATGTACTGTGGTAACAGTGGTTATAATTTGCTTTTCAGTTTTGTCAAGAAAAAACTTTAAACTTAAAATATAACTTAGAATTAATAAAATTAACCAGTTATTGATACTGAGTGCTTGAACACACACGTCATCTGTTTAATCCTGAAAGTGGCTTTTGGGGTAAACAGGCTGCCTTAGTCTACAGAGTTTCAGATTTCAAGATCATATTAACTTTGAAAGTACCTTGGATTTTACTTGGTCATTGGTAATATTACTAGGAATATATGCTTTCTGAAATTAACCTTATTTAGTAGCATCTTCAGGTTATTTAGTGTCTTATCTCACATCTGTATTAGATTTTGATCAAGTACATGGTTTGAAGCTGAGGAATTTTACAGATAATCTGACATATACACACTATGAGGAAGGAAAGTGATAATGTCTAGCATTACCCAAGTAGTACATCCTATTAATATTTAAATATCTTTTCTAAAGATTATTGTGAATTTATAAGGTTTACAAGCCTTCAGAATATTCTTCATATAAAAGCAGTTTGCTTCATCTGGTGTCTTTGTTATTTCTTCTGTTTTGATTTTGTTTATTTAACACAGAGAAGCTTCACTGGCCTGAGCAAGAACTTGCTAAGAAGTCTGTTCTAAATGCAGAAGACTCATTGATCCTTGACAAGAGAAGCCTTTCGCATTTATCCTCTGGAGTACTAAAGGACATTTTCACAACTGGAACCAGTAGTTACAATGTCCTACTGCAGAGCAAGGAGGAAAGAAAGCATCATTCACAAAAACAGTCTTCTTCTACCTACTCCAAAAGATGTAGAAAGCCCAGCAAATGCCCTAACTGTTCTCGTAGCAGAGACACTCGCAGGACAAAAGGCCCAGTGCCCGTGGCAAGCAGTGGTACTTGGTATTGCCTGGAGAGGCAGCCTGCTGTTTTTGTCACTAGCTCAGCAGCAAGTCCCATAAAGTTTACCCGTGATATCTCTGTTACAGGGACCAGCATAGTCCTCCCACCTAAACCCAAAAGCAAGATCAAACGGCGCCATTGCTCTGCTCTGCCAAAGCCCAAGCAGCAGCCTCAGCTGTCTAGAAGCTTTGAAAAAGCAGATGACTTTTCTGGAAAGAGATTTTGCATATTGACTGCTATAAAGCCTACCAACTTAGAGAAAGAAAAACTGAGATTCTTTAAGTCTGACTATATGTACAACCCCCAGTTTGAATACGCCAACCCAGCCCTGCGAAATGTGTTAGCCAAACACAGCAACGCATCTGACCGATTTCTGAAGCAGGTAAGATGCCAGTAGTGGCATTTCATTTTCATGTAGCTGAAACAATTATCTACTATTTGCAAGCAAAAAAAAATTTTTTTAAGTAGTCCAGTGATGTATATGTTGCAATTTTTTAACTCCCACCCAGGACAGATGGAAATGTGGCATGACATCTCCAGATGAGTGATGTTACCCATAAGTGAACAACTACTCTCTCATCAAAATCTAGAATCTGTTGTATAGACTCTGTGACAGGAAGCAAGCCTATGTGTAAGCAAGCTTCAGATTCAGATTCTGAGCTTTCATTCAGGAGTTACAAACTCTTGGCCTGTTTTAAGCCCACAGATGGTTGTTGGGGAGCCCACACTATGTTTTTGTTTTCTAGTTGAGTTTTTAATGTGGAGGCAGAATGTGCAATCTCTGGTTCTTCCAAGCTGGTTCATTCCCAGTTTACCATTCTCTAGAAGTTTGATTCTTGCCCATGAACTTGTCAGTGCTTTGCTAAAAGGATTAATCATCATCTAGTATTTAAGTGCTCATTTAAAGAGGAATATGGGCTGGGGCTGTAACCCTGTGGTAGAGCACTTGCCTGGTGTGAACAGGCTCGGGGTTCAAGCCCCAGCACCCCAGTAATCCATCAATCAGTCAATCATTTCAAAAAAGGAGAAAATAATGGGATTTTAAAGATTATCTTTGGGACTAACAAATCATCACATGAATAAAAAGAATATTTTCTAAGTTATTCAAATTAGACATAGTTTTAGGGCCACAACAAACCAAAATTTTACAAAAGTATTTGAGGCAAAAGTGGCTGATGTTTGTTTTTAGGACATAGTGTTGGGATAGTATTTTCAGACTGCACTTAGTTAAATTAACTTGGGACAGGTTTTTAGAATACATTAGCCTCAACTTGGCTTTGTCAGTGATTCAAAGATCTGTTTGTAGGACAGATAAGCAAAATTGCATGGATTTATTTTTCAAAAGGTATCTGTCCTCTTTCAGCATTTTTGCTGATAGCATAGTCTAGTTCTTTGGTCTTATGACCAGTAGATTCATTTGCTGTTTGGTGTAGAGATTTTTGTTTTATTTTTTGAGGCAAGGTCTCACTATGTAGTTGAGGCTGGTCTTGAACTCACTGTACAGCCTAAATTGGCCTTGGACTCACAGAGAGCCTCCTTGACTACTGGGATTACGGGTGTATGCCACCATGCCTGGATTTCTCCTCCTCCTCCATTTTTCTTGATAGAAACATATTTAATTGGCAATAAAATACCTTCACCAGTAGAATATCTTGACCTCAAAGTTCTCTAAGGCCATTATAATTGTATAATTCTAGAATAGAAATAGTATTTTATCTTCGTAGATTCACAGTGCTGAAACAATGAAGGGGAAGAAAATAAAGAAAAATAAATATAAATATAATATATTAAATAAATATATCACACCTTTCCTTAGATTACATAATTTTCTCTTTTGGCAAATCATGAACCTTTCATAGATACCCTCAAGTTAAAAGGATTTTTTTGTGGGGGGGCGGACAGGGTGTTACTATGTAGTTGAGATTGACCTGGAACTCACTGTGTAGCCTAGGCTGGTCTCGAACTCACAGCGATCCTCCTGCCTCAGCCTTCTGAGTGCTGGGATTACAGGCATGCGCCACCATGCCCAGCTAAAAGGATTCTAGTTTTTAGCTTTGTGTACTAGGTTGGAGAAGCCTAAGAGCTGGAGAGGTTTTCTTCCAGATCAGATGGAAGCACACCCATCAGATTATTTGTCCTCGGAGGGAGAAATGACCTTGATGCTTCCTTGAAAGGCTGTGTTGACTTGACTTTGGAAGTTCACTGACCCCCTGACCTGCACATTCTCTGATTATTTTAGCAAGGTCTTTCCTAGTTCCATTGTCAGCGGTGAAAACAGTCTGCAGTGCTCAGCCACCTGTAAATATCTCCATCACACCTGCCCTGCCCTGCTCCTGTCTGAGCAGAGTGCAGAGGGGAGACCAGGGCCCAAAAGGAAAGGATTGCACAGAATGAAGGCACACTCAATGTCTGGATCTGTTTATTTCCTGGATTCTCCCTATCTGGAATATGACTTTTTGAAATATTTTGGTTTATCTCTTCTTATTGCAATCTGATCCTAGTTTGCAGTTCCTGATAAAGAAAACTGGGTTCCTGGCAAAAATATCTGTGCTGTCCCCAGTCTTTACCTTGCTGTTGGCTCTGCTGCCAGTGTCTTTCTAATGACATCTGACGATATGTGATCCTGTCACTTCTCTTCCTAAGGAACTGCAGGGGGTCCTTGTCATTCAGCCTAAGTCCAGAATCCTCAGGTTGGCCTTCAGGATCTCTCACAAAGGCAACTCTGTGCTCCTGTGGTACTTTGTGTTACCTTCATCCTGTGACTGTTTTTAAGCTTCTTGCTTCTTCATCACTATATTGGCCTCCTTGGTATCAGTGCATTTTATTTATTTCAGCTATTCCACAGTCTCTAGCATGACTTTCCAAGCTGTATTTCCTTTTCTTTGATTTTTGTGCTTCTGACAGTATTGTTTCTGTTTGCCTGGAATGTTGTCTATCTCCTCTAATCCCCTTACCTTTTTAGACGATCTTACAGTAGTTTATAACTCCATTGAAGTATTACTGCATTATGTCTATATGTCTGTATGTCTTTATGTCACCTGCCATTCTAATAGTAGGACAGGGACTTAGTTTGTAAAATATAGAAAAATAACAGTGATTTGTGGAAGGTGACCATGAAGGGGAACCAGTGAGGAGCTCGGTAAATGAATGGTCCTTTTGACTTCTATTCTAGAAATTTATTGAAGTATTTTATAAACCTCCAATCCATGATTGGATGGTCAGATTTCTAAATTTGTGGTTCAGCCTGAATGTATCTTTTGTTTAGCTGGTGTGGTGTTTTTTAAACACTGGACTAGAAAGGTGCTGTTCTGATGCCCTCCCAGATACCTTAGAGCTGGTAGCTTTGTACTGTGGTTACTGCTCACACCTGAAGATGTGTTGTGTTTGCCACCACGACAGTGTGCCACAGTTGGTTGGTGGCCACAGTACTTTACATGGAGGCTGTGATCTGATGTTATCACATATCTTTACAAACCTAATGTGCTACCAAGGAGCAGCAGCCACCATTGGATACCTCATTAGTACTTGGAATTCTACTCTTCGTCCTGAGAATTTCACACTACCAGAATCGGGGTCCCCATTGTTATCTGTAGTAACCATTCCCATCCTGTTCTCAGGAACACTAAGCAAACAGGGCCCTAGGATCAGAAAACACGGGGTGTTCTGTTCATCCACAAGATTCACTGCTCAGTGTCATCAGAAAGGCTGGCAAGAGTCTTTTGACTTTATTTATTCCAAGATTTTCCAAACTTAGTTGGTCATGAAAACTATGAAAAATATATCATGTACCTATTTTCCCTCAAGGAATAGTTTGTAAAGCACTGGTTTAAAGAAAAGAACTATCTCATCTTCTAGGGGGAGGGTGGTTCAAATTTTAGAATTTGCTGAAAAGAAAAGGAATGGAGTATTGAGATTGTCTATTAATTAGCAAGGCAGGAAAAAATTAACGTTTAACAGAAAGTTAGAAGACAAGCCAGTTACTTTAAATTCTAAAAATTAAGCAGAGAGCAGTGGCACATGCCTTAATCCTAGCTACTTGAGAGGCTGAAGCAGGAAGATTGAAAGATTAAGGCTAACCTGGGCAATTTAAACCCTTCCAAGTTTAAAAATAAATAAAAAGGGCTGGGTAGAGCACTCTGGTTTCAAGCCCCAGTAGCCCCCGCTGCCCACACACACACTAAAACCTACTAGCATTCTTCTGTCAGACGTAGGTGCTGTATAGTCCTATGAGAAATAGATTGTAGAGCACATTTTCAGTGCCTCTCCCTGGCCCCATCTTGTCCTCACCACAATTTGGAGAGCTTCGCAGGGTGTGGATGGATGTTCATCTCCATTTTACCAGAAATACACTACACCTGAGAAAATTAAAGCAGCATCCTCACCAAGACATCATCAGGGCCTGGTGGCACCCTGATGTAAAATCATGTCTGGTGGTGTCTCATCTTCTGCAGCACCACCCTTTGTCAGTGGCCCCATTGAGAAATGCTGTTTTTCATTGAGGGAAACTGCATTTGAGAAGGGAGATAATTTTTAACACATGACTGTTAAAGTGGCTTGTGACTGATGGTCGGATTTCCAAATGTCTAAACCCTAAATAAAACCGCAAGTAAACCAAAAGCAGATCATTTAGCAAAATATTGAGACTTTTCAGGAAGTTTGTTTTGTCATCCAAGAGAATGCTAAAAGTTCTGTGTAGAGAAATTTTTTATTTTATGGATTAATAGTTCAAATGTTGTATGTTATTTGATTACTCTTCTTTTTTTTTTGCAGTAGGTTTTGTTTTGTTCTGTTCTGTTTTGTTTTGTTTGAGTCAGTGTCTCTACGTAGTTCAGGCTGGCCTTGAACTCTGTTGCCCAAGCTGACCTCAAATTCATAGGGATCCTCCTGCCTCAGAGGCCTCAGCCTCCTGAGTCGTGGGATTATAGGCATGCACCACCACACTCTGCTCTACTAAAATGCCATATAGTTTACCCACTTAAAGAGTAGAGTCCAGTGGCTTTTAATATATTTAGTTATGCAACCATAAACCATCACTGCCAATTCCAAAATTTCATCATCCCCAAAATAAGTCCTGTACCCTTAGCAATCACCTCATTTTTATCATCCTCCCTACCATAGGTGAGCATAGTCTACCTTCTGTCTCTGTGGATTGGTCTCGTCTGGGTACTTGTTATGAATGGGATTGTATAATATGTAGTCTTAGTGGTCCTTTGTGAATGGTATATTCATCATTTACCATGCTGTTTTCAAAGATTCATCCAGGTTGTATGCATATCAGTACTTTTTATTGCTGAGTAATATTCCATGTAAAGATTTAATACATTCTTTTTATTTGTTGGGTGATAGATATTTGGATTGTTTCCACTTTGGATCTATAGTGAA